GCTGATGCTGTGTATTCTGTATGCTTAAAGAAGGGAATATGGAGTGAAATCATCTGGCTCAGGATAGGGGCGAGTGTCTGGCTGTGAATGGTAGTGAACCCTTGCATTCCATAATATTTTGGTAATTCATTGAGTAGCTGAGCAACTAGTAGATTCTCCGAAAAGGTGCAGCTGTGTGAAGTTGGTTAATATTTGACATTAGATCTTCTAGATTTATTGTCTGGAACTAGAATTTGGTGTTGACTCCATCCTGCTGAAGCCACCCAAATCTGTCTCAAATGGTCAGCAAGTCTGGGTTTTCCTGTTATATACATTGGGGTAGTACAGTATTCTATGTATATGTATACCAGAGGGCAGTGACTCGCATCCAGCCAGTCAGTTTATGAAACCCTGTATTCCCACCAGACTGATGCAAAGCTTGTCTTCTTCCAAGAAATTTATTTTTCCAATATGTGTTTCCAGTTTAATTACTGCTACATAAGTAACTCCAGGGAGCTGAGTTAGTTATTATTAATGGAAGTTGTTATTTTTTGAGACCTCTCATCCCACTAGCTCAGAGACTGTTTTAATGTATATAAATTTTACGTCACATTGTGAACACATGCTGTGCACATCTAAACAGGCTTTTGGTGTAGCTGATGCAGCAGAGGGACTGACATGCAGAAAGCAATGCAGAGCCACGTATAAAGGATGGATGAAGAGACAACCGTTCAGACCTCGGAGAACAAGAAATGTGAATGAGAAAGAAGATGGGCAGAATAACAGTGACACACTGAACCTGACCTAGAAGCCTGTACCTTAACTGAAGAAGAAAAAAGAAATGTTTCTGACTTATGCTTCATTCACCAAAATTCAGAATTTAAAATTCGTATTGTATATAACTCAGAGTCACTTGCTGGGTTTTTGGATTGTGTTCATTGTCTGGTGTTCAAAAACAAGAGAATGTATCATTTCAGAAACTGTGTCTGTTTCAGTCCTCTCTCGCGGGAGGGGGGCATAACTACTCTGCTGGGTCCATTAGAGAGAGCTTGTTCTAGCAGGACAAGGGACAAAGTCCAAAAATCCAGCGATTCCAGATGTCT